CGCTCCGGACGCGCAGGCTCAGCAGCCACGGCTCACGAGCCCAGCCGCTCCGCGGCATGTGGGATCTTCCCGGACCGGGGCACGAACCCGCGTCCCCTGAATCGGCAGGCGGACTCTCAACCACTGAGCCACCAGGGAAGCCCAGTACAAATTTTTTAGTTTGTTAAATGTGCGAGGTTACTTTTGTTTCTTGTGTTTCTAGTAACAAGGGCAAGTAAAATGACAAATCTTAGAGAAAGAAAACAATTTGTTTTCTCGGGAAGTTCTATGTGAGACTCTGCTATTTGTTTTTCTCCAACCACTAGCGCTTAGGAAAAACCAAAGAACTGACAGCTTTGGACAGCAGTGCCTTCAACAAGTCTTGCCAGTGTGGTTTTTTAGGCATTAGAAGTGGGTTTGCTGTCTTGCAGGTGTTTCAATAACACTGATGCTATTTGTCCTTAAATTGTGTACAGAGCTTTTCTGGTGACCAGGAGGCAAGAATTACTGGAAACAGGCTCATTCCAGACACTATGCTTTTAAAGGACACACTGTAATTCTTGTTATGGGAGACTGTTCCCTTTTAAATCACTTACAATATTACAAAGGTACTAACGACCCCCTCCCCCACTTCCTTTACTTATTTTTGATAAGATATCAGGAAAAATCTGTGTTTTAAAAATTACATTTATGTCGTCTCAACTGCTTTTTCCCTGTGGACATTTCATAATACTTGTAAAGCTTAAAAACATAAAAAGCAAATTAAAAAAGAAGTTTCTTTTGTATTATTTGTGTTTGTTTTTGTGTGTGTGTTTGTGTTGTGTGTGTATGTGTGTAGAGATCCACGGAAATCCAAAATTAAATTATTTCAGGTCTTGTTGAAGATGAAATCAGCCTCCACTCACCCTCAGGGGGCTAAGCCATGCTGGCACATTTGCAGTGTGCTTTCTGATGAATGGCTGTTCACCAAGACAATGAAAACTTTCCTCGATAATGTTGCACATGCAAGGCAGAGCACCTATAAATGCTTTTGGCAATAGAATTCGAAGAACTTGGAGGGTTCTAAGAACATGAGCTTTATGAAATGGAAACAAATTCTAGAGGTGCCATTTGTTTAACTATCTAGCTTTAATAATTTCCTCAAATATTTGAATCTTAGTAATCTCAGACACAGTTCCAGTTTAAAATTTATTATCATGGCTTAATTCTCCCATGTACCCCCTTACAAAATTCTCTTAAAATAAGGCTAGCTTTGAGTTAGTAAGTAAAGAAAATATAGGACTACTTAAGATCACTCTCTGTTTTACTATCATGATCATTTTCCCTTTCTTATCTGGACTTAAGAGTGAGAAGCTGAAGCTTTACATCTGAATGGAAAAATGGAAAGGAAATCTTTCTCCACGGAGCTTTGACTGAGGACCTTCCAATACGTTGATTATCCAAGAAATCAATCAGGCTCTACTGTCATGACAACATAAACAAGACCTACTGGTGTTTTTAGTATAGTTGAATGAAAATTTTGTAATGGCACTTCTTAACCATCTGATTTAATCAGTTACATTAATAAAGCATGGAAAACTTGAGATTTCAAGGAGTAAAAGGAAAAAGATAAGCTTACTCAAAATTACAAAATTTTGATCCCACAAAATTCTGGGCCACTTGAGAGAAGGAACATTGTTGTCCTTTTCTTGTTTTCCCTACCACCCCTCAGCGTTTTGAGCATGGAGTAATAAATGTATTATTTACAAACCTGTGAATGGAGTTAATAAATGGCCAACTTCTCCTTTAAAACTTCTTAATGGAGTCAGTTAATATTCATTCATTCTTTCATTATCTTTCTCAGTGAAGGAAATGTAAGTACACACCTCTGACAGCCTTACCGATTTAGTGATTCTTTTTATCCAGTTCTCCACAGTGCAAATGAACAGTTTTATGCACAATGCTTTTCTAGATATCAGATTCTTCAAACAAGAATAGAAACATTGCCTAACTCAGATTATAGAGATATATCAAAATATGTTTATTCATGTGTTCCCTAGGAAGGATGGTGATAAATGGGGCAAAACAAAGTTTTACATGCATATGATGCTGAAAGATATATTGAATTCTTTCTCTTATAGTTAAGAAACGGTTGTTGAGACATTATTTCTCATTCAAGTTCATCTATAAAGCCAGTAACACTCTGAAATCATCTCTTTTTTAAAGGATGAAAGTAAATACTTCAGTTGCCTGAACAACGATGTTTGGGGGAATTCATTGCTTGTATAGCTTCTTGGTAATCTTGTAAAATCTTTTTAATAACATTAAAGATGTAAAAACATTTTCTATCTGATCAATATTTATCTTCCACCGCTTGGTTTTAAAACTGGAAAGCCAATGAGCAGTGTTATCTTCTTATTTTGCAGTGAATACATAATAAACAAAATGCAACATTTTTATATCTTAGGTAGGTTTTCCGGTACTTTTCCAACTCGCAAGTTACACTATTGCCTAGTTTATGGCACAAACCTTTGTTTTATTTTGTATAAATCAATTAAGAGTTAGATAGAGGGTATTTAAATTCTATTCCATACTTGTTGGAATTTCTTTTTTAAAAAGAGATTTGTGCATGTAGAGGTCTCTTAAAAGAAAAAGAAAAGGTATCTGGGAGACCTGGAAGTCTTTGCTTACAGCCCTAGAATTTGGGGAATTGGGGAAGTTCTCAAGTTGTGGTAGCATATGCCCTTGGAAAAGCATCATTAGTTCAACTTACTCTACTGAACGGACTACCTATAGAGTAATTTAATTAGTATCAATATTATCCTTCAGAGAAAAGCATAGCTTTGCAATCACTGTTGAAATTAAACCAAAGACTCCATTTATATGTATGCACCAAGTTGATGGAGTCTCTGATTTTGTGATTTTCAGAAACATCTGGCTTCTTTGTTAAGCCATACTGAGCCTGCTATTTAAACACCTGCCCCCTTTCCCTTCCATCTCCGAGCACCCAGATCCACGGTGTACCCAAATCCTGGCTTTCCACTGCCTGAGATCTTAGTAGGTGGACCTACCATCTCTAACTCCTTCACAGCAATTGCTTCACTCCACTCCCCTGGACTTGCTTCTCAGTGGCACAGGATAAGATAAACATACAACCACATTAAAAGCAAATGTAAATTAAATTTTGTTTTGCAAATGTTTTGGCACAAGATTGTTAGACATACTTGTAAAGGATTGGAAGACATTACGTAGCTATAGTTGGGAATAAAAATTTAGCGTCTTCACAAACATTGCAAGTCTTATAATCATTCGACATCACCATCATAATAATGAACCTTTCATAGTACTTTCTGAGTGCCAGGTCTGTTCTTAGCACTTTATATATGTTAATGCACAGATACCTCATTACAGCCAAATAAGTAGAACTCTTGTACCCCCATTTTACAGATACAGGAAAATGAGAAGTTAAATAACTTGCTCAGGATTATACAGACAGTGAGTGGTAGAACGGGGATGGGAACCCAGTACACTGAGTGCTCTCCTTACGGCAGACAATTACAGGTGCGTGAAGGAGCTCTTGAAATTTCCTTTATGAAATACAATTTAAATGACTCACTTATGAGCATTTTGTCCGTTCAGAACAACTAGAAGTAAAGAACTACCGCTGTTGACTAATAGCAAGTGACATCACAGTTGTTCATTTTGGCTGAAAATTAACATCAGCAGATTGTAAATATGGGCTGATAACGAATGTTCAAGATTCTGAAATAATTTGAAGTTTGGTAGTTACATTTTTTTCACCCGATTTAAGCCACTAGAAAAATGTCATATTAATTAGATAATTGTTACAATAATTTAAATTTAACCCAAATCTTTCAGAAAGACTAAATCATACCAACCTCCTATTGATGCTTCATCAATTAATCCCATAGTCTCATGTTAATAATCCTATTAACGCTCAAGTTACTCTTTCATCCCCACTGAAGGCCAAATGTAAGCCCGATTTGCACTTGCTGCCCTTAAGTATTAGGAAGGCTTTTTAAACCATACCCTAGATAGAGAAAAATGTGTATGTAGTATTGACAAAATCTGAAATGTATTAAAAATAATGTAAAATCATTTGCTAGACTATTTTGTCTTCTTACATTTAAAAGATAATTTTATACTTCAAAATATTATGTATTTGAGAATTTTAAAAGTCAAAACTAAAATAATACTAGATATAAAGCCCCATAGTCTTAAAATGGAATAGAATTATGAAAGTTTTTCTGGGTAGTGACCCACCTATTTCCCAAAGCTCCACTTGTCCTCTCATAGATGGAATCTAATGCATCCCTATAAATTCTGAAGAAAGAGAATATTGACCTATTAAAATTATAGCCAATAATAATTCCACTGTTTGCTTTTCAAAGAAGTTAGTAGTAAAGCTTATAATTTTTTTTAGCTACTTGTAAAATTTGCTATTTCAGATTCTTTATTAAATTATTTCTTAGCTTGACCCTGAAACTATAGCATAGTTCCACGACAGGATAACAGATAGCTGGTAAGCAGTATAAGCTCCTTTTGCAAACATTTTAGTATCGGCTCTGAAACACGGACAGAAAGAGCTGGAAGTTTCAGAGAATCTAAGATAAATACAAAGACAAAAAGAAAAGTGTAATCCTTTCTGGTAGAAACCTATTTTCCTCATTATTTTGGGTCCACATTTGCATCTCTGATTGTCCAGCTACATGTGGAGAGATGCAGAGAGCACTGCTTCTTGTTTCACTCTCTGTGCACTCCACTCCTCTCTGGGTAACTGTGGTAACAGGTCATAGGTACATACACAAAGTGCATGGCTAGCGGCCACAAATAGCTTCTTTTGTCATATGCTGAAGAGGATATTAGAAAGATGAGGTTCAGTAACTGGGACAAGCTCTCGGGGCCAGGATGCGGCTGGACGCTGGGGCGCTGTCATGAAAGGACCCACATACACGCGATGTGCATCAGACCTCAGTGACATTCATTTCCAAGCTGTTAGGTTACCAAGGAAGGAGCCTTACCCGGGCCTTCTGCTCCATTTCTAGCATTAATCTTTCATGTTGCTCAGCTATGGCCAGTGTCGCAGAATGGACCTTCTGATAGATCATTTCTCCTTCCCTTGTTTGAAAAGTGAATAGTCCTTCTCCTGTGTCACACATTCTGTGAGGATAGAGATAGG